AGCTCAGTTCTGACTCTGGAAGAAGGCGGCCTGGGCTCTGCCTCACGCCAGCTGCAGCCCTAAGCCTCGGGCTCCTCCTCTGCTCAGGGATCAAGTGACCTTCAGGGCCGCAGCGTAACTCAGTGAGCCGCGCCTCTCCAGCCCAGGGTCTGGCACACAGTAGGTGCACAATAAGTGCTGACTCTCCCCAACTCCTGGAGGGTTCACCCAGGTTCCCTTGTGGCTGGCTCTCTGGGCCCAGTGGTCGTCCCTCAGCACGGCCATGGTCTAACCACCGCAGCACCCTGGGCCACTGGCCTTTTGACTGTCACTGTCCACCTGCTCGTGTGGCCGTCTTGGAGCTCCGTCCATAGCCCTGCTGCCTGGCACCTCCCCCGGTAGGCCTTCCCTCCCACCTTCCATGACTCCCCCAAGCGCGCTGCCTGGGTTACCCAGAGTCTGGCCTGAGCCTTTTTATTTTGTATCCAGGTGTAATTTACATACAGCGAACTGTCCCGATCTTAAGTACGTGGTCTATTGAATTTGGACAAAAGTGTTCATCTGTGTCACCAAGACCCAAATAAAAATGGAGACTATTTCCATCACCTAGAACCTCTCCTGGGGCCCCTTTCCGGCCAATCCTTCACCTAGAGGCAACCAGCCGTTTTGGCTTCTAGGACCACAGATTAGCACTGCCCAATCTTGGAATCCCTAGTGGACTGCCCCAGGCTTCTCTGCAGTGGGGCCTTGTGTTCTCTGAGTGTCGTGGCGCTTTGAGGGCTGGTAGGAGGAGGCCGAGGAGCTACCAGGGCATCAGAGGCACAGGTGCATAGGCCCTGTTGAGGGGTGCTGCTGGAGACGTAGTGTCTAAACCACAAGAGAACACAGGGGCAGCAAACTCTTCCTCCCCGGGCTGGCCGTAGGCTTACTCTTCCTTCCGCCCTGAATGCTGTTCCTCCCGTTCCTCCCTTTTCTCTTTGCATGTGGTTAAGCGCTTCTACCATGGCCCCTACCCCTTGCTCTGACCCACGCGTGAGTTTGTGTGTCTGTCTCAGGTCTTAGCCACAGGCTCAGTGCCAATTACATGGCCTAGCAGCCTCCAGGCGCACTCAGAATGTCACTGGCCACCAGGCCCTTGTTCCCGAGCTCACGACTCTCCCACTGCCCCGTCTCCAGAGCTCCCTGAGCCTGCCTCCTCGGATGGGGAGGTGTCGCCAAATAGCCAGGCCTCCTGGCATTCGCCCACCTGCTTGGTCCTCGGGCCCCTGCCCACAGCAGAGCCTGCCCAGGCGGGGCCTGCGTCCTGTTCTCCACCCCAAGTCTAGACCAGCAAGCAGTTGTGAAGGAATGAACCGTTTCTGTCTCTTGAAACAGCGTTAAAGCTCCCCCCGACCGCTTTGATTTTAAAAGTAAAACATGCTTATCAAACATTTGGAAAATATTACAAAAATAGCAATATGAAAGCCAATAGAAATCTGACGACCTAGAGGTAGGTAATCACGATTGCAATCATAGTGTGATTCCTTTCAGCCTTTCCTCTGTGTGGAGACTGGACATGTCTCCTTGTGCCTTTGTCCGTTTACGTAGGCGATCAGATACGTGCTTGCAATACACTTTGTATTTTGCTTTTGCCATTTAACATCACCTCAGTTTTTGCCCTAATCTTTACATTTTTCTAATTATTTAGATTTCCTTTTTGCCCCCCTATTTCATCTTACTAAAATTATTTGGGAACAGCATTTTCAAACACTAAGAGTCCACTCTGTGAATGACTACAACTGGTGGAGCTCTAGGCTGTGTTCCATATCTGGCTACAGTGGCAGTGAGGACCCTGGTCACCCACTAGTCACTGTCCACGCCTCCCATGCACAGTGATCAGACATTCTGTTGTTTGCTGTTGTCCCAACTGTCATTAATAGTCACTCGTTTGCTCTCAGCAGTGTCCCCATGTGGACAATAGGTCCAATGGACCTCCTTCGGGGGCTAGGAAGCACCTGGAGATGAGGGTGGGCAGAGGCCACTCTCAGGTTCTGGGGGCCAGTGTGGAGGATGGTGACACAATCCCTGAACCGAGGTGGAGCTGGGGGGAAGGGCAGTGGGTTTCAGAAACGTTGGGTCAGAAGTGTCCACGTGACACTCCTGGCATATGGGCACTAGGACACTAGTTGAGAATGTGCACAGCAGCTCCGTTTCTGCAAAAAGCCAGAAACTCACACCACATGGATGAATCTGAGAAACAGGACGCTGAGTGACAAGGCATGGAGAAGAATGCAGCCAGCACAGTCCCATTTTCAGAAAAGACAAGCAAGACGAACTAATGTGTCGGGAGATGCACGATGTAACTGATTATCATCAGTTACATCCAACCTATGACATTGCTTCTTGGTGTTTATGTCAAACACCTGATGGAAGAACTGCCCAAGCTGGGAGAGGCAGTCGTGACAAGGGACGGCTCCCGGCGAGGCCACCCAGGCTGGACGGGAAAGGCAGCTGCTGAGAACCAGCTTCATCTGTGAGGCCTGAATTCACGCAGAACATGACGACACCAACAGGCCTTAAATGGACCAAGATGCTGCCCGTTTTTGCCAATGAAACATGTACATGCAGTTCAGGCTCAAATTTATGGCTCTTTTATTTTTATGTATTTATTTTTGGCTACGTTGGATCTATGTTGCTGTGCGCGGGCTTTCTCTAGTTGTGGCAAGCTGGGCTACTCTTTGTTGCGGTGCATGGGCTTCTCATTGCAGTGGTTTCTCGTTGCAGAGCATGGGCTCTAGGCGCATGGGCTTCAGTAGCTGCGGCGCGTGGGCTCAGTATTGTGGCTTGCAGGCTCGAGAGTGCAGGCTCAGTAGCTGTGGCGCATGGGCTTAGTTGCTCCGTGACATGTGGGATCTTCCCGGACCAGGGCTCAAACCCGTGTCCCCTGCATTGGCAGGCGGATTCTTAACCACTTCGCCACCAGGGAAGTCCCTATGGCTCTTATATTTAATCTTTTTCATCTTCAGCAACTTTATATTGTTTCTTTCTAGGCAAAAAGGTGTCTTTCATTTCTAGAGGCTTTTGTTTTGTTTTGTTTCTAAACACTTAACTTGGCTATTTTGTTCCACACCCAAAATCAAATCTTGTTTTTCCTCTTCTCTCTTTTCCAAGTTTTGTCCGTAGTCATATTACTTTTATAATTTAAGAAAGGAGGGGGAGGGGATGGGGAGAAAAGGGAGGAGGAGGAGGTGGTCTCCCCAGCCACAGCCATAAGGAGTGGTGGAGACAGTGGTCTGAGGAGGTGGTCTCAGACCACCTGGGGGTAGCCTCTGCCGGGGCTGGAGTGGTCCCCAGGCTGCTCTGAGGAGGCTGCACACACCCCTTGGCCTTGGGCGCCCAAATGTCCAGGCTCAAGTCCCCAGAAGCAGACCCAGGATGAAGTGCAGCTTCCTGGGTGGGGCCGGTGGAGGGTCTGTCCTTGACTGGTCCAGAACCAGGGTGGGCAGCTAGGAGCCCCGGGACACTCTGAAGGGAACTGGGGGGCCGGCTAGTCATCAGCCCTCCCAGCTGGCTTCCTGCCTGTCTCCCCGGCTCTGCTGGCTGTCAGTGGCGCCCCCAGGCTAGAACGCCCACCTGGTGGGCACGAGACCCAGTCCCCTCCCACCCCCAGCCCCACCAAGGCATACCCTGTGCCCTCGGCTGTCTGTGCCGGACTTGGCCTCTGGGTGCAGGTCCGTCCCCTGCTGCAGCCCCCACTCCCAGCTGCCATCACGCTGGCCTGGTCCTGGTCCAGGTCCAGCAGGTGAATAAGGCCCAGCTGCCCCAGGGGCCACTCAGCCCCACCCGCAGGCTCCAAGCTGTGTGACTGTGAGTGTGGGGGGTGCCACTATCTGCCTGCAGCACGTGGGCAGCTCATTAGGGAACAATCAAGACAGCATACACTTAAGAATGAGGTTCTGCTGGGCAGATTCTGCTGGGAGCTTTGGAGGAGGCAGAGGGGGCAGGCAGGGGGAGAGCGAGGGGTGAGTAGGTGGGGCTGGGGGGGCCCAGGGCCTGGTTGGGAGCCCCAGCCTCCCGTGGTGGCAGCCTGGAGCTAGATAAAGCTGCCTCCCTTGCTGCGTGGCCGGAGGGTGGGAGACCACTGCTCCAAGCCACCTGGAGCCAGAGGGGCACTGAAAGCCCTCAGGGGTGATTTGGGGGCAACATGCAAGGCCCACGGTAGGTGAGAGGGGGCACGCAGGCGAGCGAGCAGGGGACAAAGGCTCAGCATGGGGGCAGGGTTGGAGGTGGCAGTGTCAAAGCCATCCTGGCTGGCTGGCCCAACTCCCGTGAAAGCACCAGCACCTCCTCCTGCCCCTGTCTTGGGGAGTTCAGGCAGCATTTCGGCACCGTGGGTCAGCAGTCCCCGCGTGCAGGCATTTTTGATGTTTCCCACGTTCCCTTGAGATCTGAGCTCGGCCAGAGCACATGGGACCTCCTGTCTGAGTGTGATGGGGGAGGGTCTCCATCCTCAGAGTCCCTGGGCCACTGAGGACTCCTGCAGGCTCCGCAGGGGCCAGACCCCCCACCCCCGCCACTTTTCTAAAAAGAAGTATTTATTTTTGGCTGCGTCAGGTCTTAGTTGCAGCACGCGGGCTTCTCTCTAGTTGTGGTACGCGGGCTCTACAGTGCGTAGGCTTAGTTGCCCCACGGCACGTGGGGTCTTATTTTCCCAACCAGGGATTGAACCCACGTCCCCTGCGTTGGAAGGCGGATTCTTAACCACTGGACCACCAGGGAAGTCCCCTGACACCCCTCTTGTCACCCCTGGAAGAGGCTCGCAGTGAACAGCTTTCCTGCTGCTAGTGCTGGCAGGCTCCCAGGGACGGGAACCAGGCTGGCTGGTGGGCTAGAGGGGCTGCAGGCCAGCAGCACTCTCCCGAATCACCTGCTCACTTTGCAAGATTGGTAGATGACCCCCCAGCAGCTTCCAAACACACCCTGGTCGCCAGGGACCAGGAGCGAGGAGGTCAGAGAAGAAGGCAAGACTCGGGACTCGGGGGTGGGGTTCAGAGCTTGTGGTTTATTGACACGAGCACAGAGGCCCCTGGGACTTGTCCCTTGGATGGGGAAACAGCCACCCTGTCTGGGAACAAGACCTCCTCGCACAGAACACCACTTCCAGGAAGCGCACCAAGATGTGCATGGATAAACCCTCGGCAAGGCTGCAGGTGCATTTAGCAAAGCTGTGGAGCCTTGGGGAAGAGTGCAGGCCTCCGGGGCTGCCCGCTTGGGGCTGCCGCCAGAATCAAACCCAAGAGCTCATTCTGCAAAGGCCCACTTGGTCTCCATTTGGCTCAGGTCGGGGCCAGGCCCAGGAGCAGCGCAGCTATACCCCCACCCTCTGAATACTGCAGACGTGGCCAGGACACCTGAGTCCACGGTGGAACTCTAGCTGCAGGGGAAGGGGCAATGGTGGGGCCGCATGATGGCCCAAGGAGGACAGGGGTCACTAGAAGGTGACCCAGGACCCCAGACAGACAGCCTGTGCTTCTCCTGTGAGGCCTGCCCCCGGTTGCTCTTCCCCCTTGAAACACACCAGTTCCTAGTCCTGGATGCTGAGGGTGGGCTGGGTCAGGGAGGCCGTGTTTCCCCCTGGGATTTCAGCACTGGCGCTGGCCCCTCTCGTGGGCCTCCCCCACCCCTGCTGCCTGGGAGCCGCCCCACCTGTGAAAGCAGGGCTCAATAGCTCTGGCTTTTGTTTTCCATATAAGGAAGGCACTGGCATCAGTAGCTTGATTCTTCCCCAGCCCACTTACTGTTAAGAATAGATACTAATAATACTTAATCACCCCTCCCTGCTGGTGGGGGGAGGGGCCCTTAGCCCTGGCAGCATCGCCCCAAGACGCCCCAGTTTGCCCAGCACCTCCAGAATTCCAGTGGCGGCTGCACAGACTCAGTGCAACAGACTCAGTACAGAGGGGACACTGAGGCCCAGGGACGCACAAAGATAATGACCGAGTGACAAAGCTGAGGCTTGAGGAGGCGACGGAGGTTTCCAGATCAGTGTCCCTGGCTAGTGGCCCTCTTGGGACTGTGACCTGAAGAGGAAGTGGGCCAGGACTCGCAGAGGCTGAAAGTGCCCAGTCCAGAGGGGAGGATGGCTCAGTGCCCAGGTGTTGCACGAGGCAGGGCTCCCTCGGGCCCCCACCCCAACCTGAGGGCTGGCTGATCCCTGTCCTGGGAGGGGCCAACGAGGGGGCCTCTGGCTCCCAGAAGGTGGGGCATTCAGGTTAGACAGAGCAACATCTGCTCACTGGGCCACCAAAGCTGCTCTCTGAATTGTGACCATGCTAAAGTTGCTTTCTACCAGGAGCCCCTGAGCTCGTGGTCTCAGCCGCTGCATCCCTGCTGGGAAGGAGGGGACGACGCTGAGCCTGCAGGTGGCGTCCCGCTGCTTCCTGGGGACTGGCCTTAGGAGGGGCTCTCACTGCCCTCCCTTCCCTGGGTGAGGGGGGCAGAGGCTCCCTCAGTGCAGCCGGGATCACGGTGCGCCCTGCATAGCCTTTCCTGGGCCCTCCTACTGCAGGTGGACTCTGACCGCCTCCATGGGACCCTGCAGCCTCAGGGACCCGGCACCAAGCCCCCTCAGTGACATCCTCTAAAGCCTCAGCTAAGCCACCCACTGCCCTTCCCAGACCTGCTAGCCTCTGCCTGTGGCAGCCTGCCCACCACAGGGAGCCCAGGTCCTCCCACCAAGTACCCCTCTCCCTGGGCCCTGACCTCTGCCTGGAGCCCCTGCCCGGCCCTGCGCTTCCAACCCTACACCCACTCAATGGGAGCCAGCAGGCAGCAGAGGCTGCCACCCACAGGCAGAGCAGGACAGACTCCCCGTGGCATCCCCCCTGCCTCCAAACACAGCCGGAGACCCTCAGGCTGCCTCGGCCTTGCAGAGCCCCTTCGGTGTGTTTCCTGTTGAAACCAATTCAACTACCAACACACAAGACCTCTGGAACATTCCAAACAGCAGCAAGGACCTGCCCACTGGCGGAGCTCAGTCCCTCAGCCTGGGGTCCAGTCAGAGATGTGAGAGGCAGGGCCACAGTCACCCCGACTCTAGAGCCCCAAGGCCCAGCCCACGTTCTCATCGGCGCATCACAAAGGCAGAAAGAACTCTTCCGGGAAGAATTCTGGCCAGAATTATACCATTCTGACAAAACAAATCCTGCTTTTGAAAAAACTGAAACGTGCTATCAGAACCCGTCACAGGCCCGGCAGTTCCGGCCTCGCCTAGAGCTGTTTAAGGCACTTGAATGGCTTATTTACACCACCTGGAAAAGTGTGTTTCAATCCTGATCTAGGGGGAAAAAATCCAGTAATACTGCAAAAGAAGTTTCTCAAAAAAAAAAGCAATTCTTAAGTTTTCTAAGGAATAAAATAAGTGCTGAGCTCTGCTTAAGTTATATGACACAACGGGTCCTACTGGCACTGACAGAACAAGGACAAAACCTGAAATACTGCTTCTGAATTAGACTTTTCCCTGGAAAAAAAAAAAAAACCCACAAACAAGACACACGTGTCTTTGTCTGAGGGTTCCCTCCCTGGTGCACGAGGGGTGAGCGGGAACCAGGGAGGTCACTAGTGGGCACCGCAGATCAGACCCCTGGCGCCTCCCCCTTCCCCATGAGGCCACCCTCCCCACTTGGGAAGCCACTTGGCTCGGCCAGGACCTGCTGGGCACCAGGACCAGACAGGAACATTGGTCCATACAAGTCCTCCCAGTGACGGGCAGTGAGGGGTGGATGGGAAAACTTTGCTGGACACCCAGGCACTGGAAAATGTCTGTGGCTCCTGGTTCTGCCCGAAGGTCCCACACACAGAATCCTGCTACCCTGCAAGCATGCCCAGTGTCTTTGGTTTGGCTGTGGCCGCCGCCTTAGCCTCCGGTCCCATCCCTGCCCGATGGGGCCCAGAGCCTGTCCACTTCCTGGGCCCCTTCTCCTCCGTGAGGTCTCCTTCCTGGACTTCCTTTGGACATCCTGCCATCCCACTGTCACCCCGTCTGCTGTGAGCAGGCGATGCCCCTGGCAGCCACCAGGATGGGGTGACGCAAGCAGGGCCAGAGGCCGTGAGTGGCGTCACCTGCCCACCTCCTGCCGTGTCCTAAGGCATCCGCGGGGGAGGATCACGGGGACGGGGGGCCCGGACCTCCTAGCTTCTCGGCACAGCATCGGTCTCTGGCTCCAGCAGGTCTCGGGGTTCCCGGAGGAAGACCACCATGACCGTGATGTTGTCGTGGGAGCCCCGCTCCCGGGCGGCAGCCACCAGCTCCTCAGCCACGCGCAGCCCACTGCCCTGCTGCCCAACCAGGTGGCTCTGCACGAGGCCGGCCACCTCCTGGTGGGGGACCACGTCGAAGAAGCCATCGCAGGCCAGCAGCAGGTAGTCCTCGGAGCCCGTCAGCGCCCGCGAGGCCGTGTCTGCCTCCCCAGACACATAGGGCTTCTGGAAGACGTCCCCTGGGCGTGGGAGAGAATCGTGAGGGCCATGCCCCTGCAGCTGTCCCCTCCCCAGGCCCCGGCCTGCCTGTAGCCACCCCGCCTCCAACACAGGGTGAAAAGGTAGCTTCGCAGGGTGCCAAGTGCTCCAAAGGAACAGAGCAGGGCGATGCGACAGACTTGCCCTGTGTCCCTGCGGGCAGAGTCAGAACCCAGCAGGGCCAAGGGCAGCTGCCTACAAGAGCTGTCTCACTTCAGAGGGGACACAGGCCGAGGATGCTGTCCGGGTGTGGCCCTGGCCCTCTCCAGCCCCTGCGGCTCCCTGCGCACCCAACGGGCACCTAGGCCGAGTCGGGATGCTGGCTCTGCCTCCCATGCACCCTCTCCCATCCCCCTATCGCAGGAGAGAACAGGGCACAGCCTCCGCCGGATCCTGCCCTGGGCTTCTCTCCTGCTCAGGCCTCCCCTGAGGGCTTCCCGCTGGTCCTCCTCCCCCGCTGTGGCCCTGACATTCACTTCTCCCCAGGGCACGAGCCAGACATGTTGCTCCCTGACACGGAGCTGCCCAGTGGTCCCCTCTCCAGTTCCGGTCCCCTTGGAAGGAGCCTGACCCCTCCTGGCCTCCATGTGGGCCACCTCCTGGGGTCCAGCTGTAAGGAAGGCACCGTGTGTGTCAAGAAGCACAGAACGTTTCAGGAGGCTTGGAGGGGCCAGGGCCACGTCTCAGGGTGTGGTGCGGGAGCAGGAAGGGAACGATTTCTCAACCCTGGAGGGAGGTCTGAGCCCCAGACCAAGGCCTGGCAGCCACAGGAGATAGGGTGGGGGAGGGGTGCCGTTTTTCTCACTTTTTTTTTAAGGTAGAAAAAAGAATCATCAGCGCGAAAGGTGGGTAGGGGAGGGTGAGCCTCATTTATAGACTGTCTATTAAAAATTACCTTTAGCACATACAGTAACTGCCAAGGGTTTCCTCCTAGATCTTTCTGAGAAACTGTTTTAATGAACATAACAAGCTGCAATTATCTGTGCAGGATGCAAGTTTCCGAGGTGGCTACACCCGTGCTCTGGATTCACCAGAGCCCTTTTGCAATCTGACTGATGAGCAGGTGAGGCTGCATTCCCAGACCACCCGGTGAGCACATTCCCAGGCCCTGGGGCCCCCTCCCAAACCCCTCACCTCCTTACCGATGGCTCTGGAGACAGCCAGGGTCCCGTTGACCCTCCAGCAGTCCATGTGGGACACGAAGCCACCCAGTGCCTCGATGCGGTCCTTCTCGTCCTGCGGAGACAGCCAGGGTGGGCCGGGTAGGCCGCGTGTGCCGATGGCGTACCCGTGCTGCCCAAGGGGAGACCAGCTGGTTCCAAGGCAGCACTGGGAGCCGCGGCTCTGATCAACACCCAAGGGAAGCCTTAGTGAGGCAGTGAGAAATGATGAACCACCTAAATCATCCCAAAGATGCAGGACTGGCTAAGCAGGCGATGGTGCCACTGAAGACGGACGGCCAGTCCCCGAGCAGCCTTTTGGGGTCCAGGAAATGCACACGGCAGCAGAAAGAGCCAGAGCCCCGGGGTCCAGGTGGGGATGCTGTGCCTCCCTCAATGGCCCAAGCATGTGTACCTGCGGCCACTCTGCAGAGCTAGATGAAACCTGAGCCAGGCCCTGGACGAGCCCTGTGCCCGGCCCTGGACGAGCCCTGTGCCCGGCCCTGGACGAGCCCTGTGCCCCTGCATTCTTGTCCTTCTCACCCCACCCCTACCCCCATCCAGGCGCTGTCCGGCTCCACAAAGGACGACGGTGCTCCAGGCGTTAAGAGGACAGCACAGAGGCCTGGTCTAGCCATGAGTCCTAAAAACCGTTTCGGTCCTATAAACTCCCCTGAAGGAGAGGTTTCCCAGGTGTGAGCCTGCTGCCTGAAGGGCGGTAACACAGCGTCTGTGCTGGAGCAAAACCCCATTGCCTCGTGCCCTCCCCTGTGGCTCCCACCTCTGTTACCTCACCTGGTACAAGGCTGGGGCATCCTGGGGCTCGGGGCACCCCTATCTTCACCTCTTGTCTCCTGGGACACCCACCGCCTCGGCTGCCCTCTCACCTCATCCTTCCCACCTGCCCGAAACAGCCTCCCCAAGGGCAAGCCCAGAGCTGGTGGCCGGTGGGTGGGTTCCCAGCAGCTTGGCTCACCAAGGCTCCCTGCCCACTGCTTCCTCTCACCGGCCCCACCTCCTGCCCACTCGCCCAGGGCTGAGGGGCTGAGTGGCTCACCTGGCAGGTGGGCCCAGGCAGATGGCCGTTCCTCCTATGCTCGCTGCCACAGGGCTGCGCTCTCCTGCTTCCCCCCTATCTCTGATGGGACTCGCTCAATCTCCTGCCACACCCTCCCCACTGCAGACCCTGCAGCTCCATGCGTGGCCCCCGGGCCCATATCCCCAGCCCCTCCAGTCTTCACGGGGTGTCCCAACAGCCCCCGCACTCCCAGGGAACATCCCACCCCGAGTTCCCCGGCCCTCAGACCAAAGGCATCACCACCCTCTCAGAGGCCCAAGGCCTCTCTGGCTCCCCATCCCAAAGCCTGGCCTCCCTCTTCTCCCTCCTGACTTGACAGGCAGGTCCTCCCCACAGCTGGCTGGCGACTACAGTGGCATCTTTGTGACCCAGGCCTCAGCTTGCCCTCCGCTGGTCCGATCATTCCAGAAGCCACCAGATTCCTTCCAAAGTGCCTCCTGCCCCAGGAGCAGCAGCCGTTGAGTGCCTCAGCGGCCGGTCCTGGCTTAACTTGCTCTCTCCTGGACCCCAGGCCTGGCCTGCCGGGCCCACACCTGCCTTGGGATCCGGCTCTGCCTCCTTCCCTCTCATTTCTGCATCTCCCAACAGCTTGTCCATGCCCTGCAGCTTTCAGCCCCAAGTCTGGTCCCTTCCATCTCCGACTCAGCGTCACCTCCTCCCTGAAGCCCTCCTCCCCCACAGCCCAGGTGGCTGACCACTTCCCCACCTGTGTGCAGGAGAGGACCCTGCCCATTAACTCCTTACTGCGCCACCTGCTGGGCAGAGGGGCCAGCTCTCCCCCGCAGCTCTGGGCTCCATGTTGCTGTGACAGGAAGGGCTCGCGCGGGATTCCTGGCAGCTAAAGCCCCAAGCTTTACGTCCTGGGACCCCCAGCCACTTGAGTCAGGCAGGGAGCCCTCCCCTGGAGGAGCACCAGGAGTTTCCTGGGAAGATGGTCCAGGGCCCCTTTACGTCCTAGTCCCCCTGACCACCTGCCTGCCTGGGGGCCCCTTACCTGCCGCTCAGGTCTGTGTGGCTCCATCAGCTTCACCACCTGCCCCTGCTGCACCAGGACCACCTGGGAGTCCCCGAGCCAAGCCACGTGCAGGGTGTTCCCGGCGACGAGCGCGCACACCCCTGTAGTACCGCTCTGCAGCCGCTGCAGGGAGAGGGTGCACGTGGGTGAGGACGGCGAGGCCGCCACAGGCACACGCCCCACGCTGGCCAGACACCAATCCCGGAACAGTGCTCAGCGGGAAACAGGAACAGACCGATGCACGCAGGGACCAGGCAGCAGGAAAGGGGCATTTACATCAAGTCAGCAGAGCAGACTCTGCCATTTCACGGTGTCAGAAAGCAGACAGGTGGGTGTCTGGGGAGCTGGGGGGCAGGGGCGGGGATGACCAAAGATAGAAGAAACTTTGGGGGTGATGAATACCTCTGTTACCATGGTGAGGGGCACACGGGCATAGACATGCCAAAACCTACCAGATGGTACTCTTTGGACAAGTGGAGTCTCTTACATGTTAATTACGTATCGGCAAAGGTGTTTTTAATAACAGAGCCTAAACTAAACAGCTCTGCTTAAGAGACTCCTTTCTTGACTAGAGCAGCAGCCCTGAGCTCCCGGCTGGCGGGGCTCCCACCTCACAGTCTTAGACCTGGAAGGTTTTCTGTTTAGATTCAAATCCAGCCTTGTTGATTCTGGTGAGGTCTGTGCTCAGAGCATCTGATGACAATGCCTCCTGCCCCCACCACGTCTCCTCCTCAGCCTTGTTGACGGGGCCAGGCCTGAGCTCTCTGGGCCTGTTTCTCGATCTCAGAAAGGGACACGATCTTAGTATCCACCCTGCTAGGAGGACCCCCGAGGTTCCAAGGCGAGGTTCAGTGGGCAGTAAGGTCACAGAGGGACCGGATGCGTCCTTTCTTCTTTCAGAAACAAACGCCTCATAGTGGTAACTGCCGACACCAGCAGCCTAGGGAGACTTCCCCGGGGGGAGGTGTTTGGGGGGTGGGGAGCCTCAGGTGGACCACATGTTGCTGCTTCCCGTTATTGCCCTTCGCCGATGGTGCATTTTTCACAAATTGAAGGTTTGTGGCAACCCTGCCTCGAGCAAGTTTATTGTCACCATTTTTCCAACAGCATTTGCTCACTTCCTGTCTCTGTGCCACATTTTGGTAACTCCTGCAATATTTCAAACTTTTTCATTATTATTATTCTCTGTCATGGTGATCTGTGATCAGTCATCTTTGATGTTCCTACTGCAAAAAGATCACAACTCGAAGGCTCAGATGATGGCTAACATTTTTTTAGCAATAAGGTGTTTTTTATGGTACCTGTGTTGTTTTAGACGTAATTCTGCTGCACGATTATAGATGAGGGTACAGTGTAAACATAGCTTTTATCTGCACTGGGAAACCAAAACATTCATGTGTCTCGTTTTATCCCAATATGCATGTTACAGAGGTGGTCTGGAACCAAACCTGCAAGATCTGAGGTCTGCCTATATCAGTGCTGTGTTTTGTTTTCTGTACTTTACGATGTTTAGACAAACCAAGGGCCTTCTGAATCCTGAAGAAAGTACCCCTCCCAGGGCTAATTCCTAAAGAAAGCAAATGTCTCCCCAGGGACTGTGCCTTTTCTGCACAAGCCAGGTGGTCTGAGCCCATGTCCTCAGCCAGGGTCCCTTGCCAGGCCAACATCTCCCTGGCCTGGATGGCTGGGGACCACCCCGTAGCCCAGAGCCTGTCAGGCTTATTCAAACTATCTGGTCCTCAGCTTGTGACGTGCCTGCCTACGGAGGTCACCTTGAAGCCTTGGGGCCACGCTTTCCTCTCTCTCGGTCTCCTGGCTGACCCTGGTGCTCCCCATGTGGCCCTGCATGGGGTGGCGTCTCTTGGGAACCACAGGCAGATGCCTCTGCATCTGTCATCCCACTGTACCTGATTAGGAGGAAATCCTCGGTGCATTTTAAGACAAGCTGCCCTTCCCCGTGAGGCCCTCACACCCTCTGCTGGAGTGGGGGCAGCCTCACACTGCTTCTATTCAAGCCCCCTTCCAGGCACAAGTGAAAGGACACGACTGCCAGCAGGGTTGAGCAAGGGCCTTCTGCCAGCACCAGCCACTTCGGCTTCCTTCCCTCTGTGAGGCCTGGCCCCTCTGGCCCCACCATGGTTCTCACCTCTCGCCTGGCTTTCCAAAGGAACATCTCATCGGTGCAGCGGAAGGCTGCTCGCAGGGCCCCCGCGGGGTCAGTGGGCAGCTCTGGTCGGTGGGCAGCGACAGCGTGCACGTGCACAGATGCGTACCTCGCAGCGTCCACCCCTCCGTGGCCATCGAACACGGCAAAGTAGGCACGGTCCACAGAGTCCTGGTGGGGAGCGTGGTGGGGGTCACAGTCCTGCCAGCCCTGGGCCTGACTGAGGCCGCAACCTAGCCAGAGACTCTGGTCTGAGGGTGGAGATGGGCACTTCTGGGACAGGGTGTGGCGGGACAGCACGGTTTCCACCACTAGACAGGCTACGTTGGGGGGTCTGGGAGAGGATGACCCTCGGGAGCCTCAACTTCTGCTCTGGGCCCAGCTGGGGGGAGCATGGGATGAGGGGAGAGGCGCCAGGTGGCTCCCAGTGGGTGGGGAGAGCAGGCTCAGCAAGCAGGGGTCCAGGTGCATGTGGTGCTGGGGCCTCCCGTTCCTTAGCCCCTCAGCCGGGAAAGCCAGGGGCTGGGGGCTGCCCAGGCCCAGGAGCGCTGGGACCTGGCCTCCTGACGGAAGCCGTGGCCATCCCTCCTGTCTCGGCTCCAGCCGGCAGCCCTGCTTGGTACCCAGGGTCCTCCCCCGCCCTTGCAACCTCCCACTTCCCGCCCGGCCCTCCCCGCCCAGGCAGAGCACTCACCGATAGGCCAAAGAGCAGGTTGAAGGCAGGGAGGCACACGTGCCGGTCCTCCATCCTGCGGCGGGCGTTGCGGATGGCGTGCACGGAGACCAGCCACTGCCGCTGCGGGACCCGGGCAGCCACGGGCACCTGCTTCTGCCACTGGCTGCACACTTCCCAGAGCCGGTCAAAGAGGCTCCGCGCCAGGCCCGCAGCATCCAGCACTGAGGCGTAGGAAAGGGGGCTGTTAGGGAAGTGCCACCGCAGGCCCTCGGGGGCTCCCCACTCTCCACCCCCTTCCCATGGCCCCTGTAGCCCGTCGCCGCCCAGGGCCTCCTGAGCACAGCAGCCTAAGAAACCGCGCAAACAGCCTGTGTCATCAGCATGAGAAGTGTCTGGTTTGGCAACACACACAAGGAGCACCTCCCCACCTCAACATGGCGAGGCCACGCCCCTCATGGGAGCCCACCCCAAGGAAAGAGCTGGATATGCAAAGACAATTTAAGAACAAGTACAGAATCATTTATAATTGTGCATTAATTAGAAATAATATACATCCAACAACAGAGTAAATTATGGTCTGTTCTCCTGGTGACGAATTAAGCTGCTATTTTTCACAACTAAACACGTAACTGCCATTCGGCCCAGCAATTGCACCCTGGGGCTCAAATCCCAGAGAAATGGAGCCTAGTTCACATGAGACATGCGCCCGGTGGTCCCAGAAGTGTTATCTGCAACAGCTAAAAGCTGGAATCAGCCCAGATACCCTTTAACAGGTGAACAATAAACTCCCAAACATCGCACCCCGAACAGTGCTCACAGGAAGGAAGGAAAGAGCTACTGACACACAGAGACCTGGGCAAATCTCAGGGAACCACACTCAGTGAAAAAAGCCAATCCCATGTGATTCCATTTATACGCATACTTGAAACGACAAGATTATAGAGATGGGTGGCTGTCAGGGGTTAGGGTGGGGAGGGGGTATTACGGTAGCCATAAAGGTAACACGACATCCTTGTGGGATAAGATTACGTCGTAACACGACATCCTTGTGGGATGAGATTACGTCACGATCCTAGTCGTGATATTTCACTAGTTTTCGAGATGTTACCATTGAGGGAAACAGGATAAAGATGCAGGGGGTCCCTCGCTGTTATTTCTCACAACCGCACGCGAGGCTATGGTTACCTGAGTTTAATTTTAAAAAGTTAAAGGGTGAAACAGAAATAGACTTTGCAAGCATATGAGATGCTCATGTCACGACATTAAAAAAAAATGATATTAAGAAAAAATGTGAAAAAAAAAGAAAGAGAGGAAATTACACATATGATTTGATCATGAGAACGTGAAAAGCCTTTGACCCGCTTGGGCCCAGAAGATAAGAGGCGAGAAAGGCATAAACCCCATAAGGTCAGCAGTGGGCATCCGCAGGGCTGGGTCCGCGGCTGAGGCTTTTCCTTAAAGACACTTTTTTGTGCTTTTCCCATATTCCACTACAACCAGGAGCTGGTTTTAAAATTCGTCCATAAATGCTTTGCTACTTCTCCCTTCGAGAATGGGGCCTAATCCCCTCCCCTTGAGGGCAGGAAGGAGGACCTCGGCCCACAGACTCCCGAGGCCGAGGCTGCTCAAGGGAACTGCTTGCTGGGGCAGGGCGGGGCGGCTGGAGGCTCCACCTGCCCGGCCACACAGAGGTCTCAGTCATACCTCCGCCCTCAGGAGTTGATTCTTTTTTAAAAAAATTAATTAATTTTTATCTGTGTTGGGTCTTAGTTGCGGCATGCAGGATCTTCTGTTGTGGTGCACAGGCTTCTCTCTAGTTGTGGCGTGTAGGTTTTCTCTCTAGTTGTGGTGCATGGGCTCCAGGGCGTGTGGGTTCTGTAGTTTGTGGCACGCGGGCTCTCTCACTGAGGCGCATGAATTCAGTAGTTGTGGCACACGGGCTTAGTTGCCCCGCGGCATGTGGGATCTTAGTTCCCCGACCAGGGATCGAACCTGCGTCCCCTACATTGGAAGGCAGATTCTTTACCACTGGACCACCAGGGAAGTCCCAGGGCAGTGATTATTATAACACTCGAGTAATGCCAGTTTTGCAAGAATGGCTTCGATAGACTGATTTGACTGTGTTCTACTCCCATGACAGGGGTGAGCTGTTAAGGGCGGCGGGCCCAGGCCTGCTTGGAGGGCAGGGCCGGCCGAGATGTCCTTCCCCTTCCCCAGCCCGCAGGGCCCCCAGGCCTGGCTCTAGGGTGTCAGCTGCGCAGTTCCTTCCCGCCAGCAGGTGGCGCTGACTTCCCGCTGGACGTGGGCGGAGCTGGCGGGGCGCCCCTTTGTGGGCCGCGCGGGCAGCAGGCTCTGCACAGGACAAAGGCGGTCTGTCACCCGCACAGCCTCAGGGCAGGAATTCGGAGCTGGGCTGGGCTGGGCTGGAACGCAGCCGGGCGGCGAGCCAGAGAACAGGGTGGGGGGCGAGACCACGTGTGTCCCCCCCCCCTCCTGGCTCTGCCCTCCATGTGGCATTAATGCCGAGTTTAAAGGGACATAGCTGGATAGTAATTATGTGAGTGGTGGAGGTGTCAGGTAACCATCTGCGATGCATAAAAGGACCGAATCGACACATTGTGCACTTAAGTTACAGTTACAAGTCAATTATGTCTCAATTAAAAAACAAACAATAATAAAGCAACACTGTCCAATAGGAAATGGCAAAGGAGGGGAAATCTGCTGAGGCTCCAAATGCCCCCCACCCCCTGCCCACCCCAGGGCTGGACCCCAGGACCCACCCTGCTTCTCTGCATCCCAACTGGCCCACAGCCCCGCACCTTCTCCAGCAGGTGTGGAGGAACTGAGACCCTGCTCAGGCGGGGCTCACCCAACACTCTGCCAGGGCCTGGCCCACAGGCTCTCGCTCTCTGCAGTTCTGGTCCAACGTGAACCGACTTTTGGGTGGAATACAGTTGGAAGGAACTACTAAGAAAGGGACAGAAAGGCCTGCAAAACAAGGGCCCTGCCTGATCCAAGGCTCATTCCCATCCTGGGCTCCTTTGGCCGCTGACTGCTGTCCCCGGAACAGGACACAGGCCTCTGTGGCGCCTCCCCAGGCTCTCAGGGACCCTCAAGTCTCCACCTGACAAGGGTCCCAACCTGGATCAGCTGAGACACGGCCCGAGCTCTGGGTTTTCTACCACTGGACCCCGGGACCAGCTCTCGCATCAACACCCACTTGTCACCCGCTGAAGTGGTAGAGCGTGTGGGTGAGGCCCATTGGCACCTCGGGCTCCTCCTGTGTGACCCGGGACAGGGCTGTTTGTCTCCCGGGCTGCGGCGCTCACCCCGCTGGCTCCATGCTGGGGAGGTCTCTCCCTGTGACTGGTCTCTGACACCCTGTCGTAAGCACACGAGCCCGGCGCTGCCCACAACCCCTCTGTCCACCAGAAAAACGGGAAAGGAAAGGGGGGCCAGGTGAGCCCTGACACTCCCCTGCAGCCTGGCCCCCATCTGGCTGGAGAGTGTTGCCCAATAAGCCCAGGGCCCCAAGAGGGAGACTCACGGGTCACAGGGGCCTCCTCTTCCTCCTGCTCCGGCAACTTCCTGAACTCAGAAAGGTCCGTCTGCAGCAGCTGGGAAACTGCCTCGTGGGCCAGGCAGGCAGCAAGTGGTGGCGGAGCGCTCCTGGGGGCACAAACCCGGAGTGAGGGGCTGGCTCCTCAGCAGGAGCCAGCACCCCAGAGCCTGCCCCACACTCCAGGCAGAGACCCCCAGCCTCTTTCTGCTGCCGGAGGCCCTTCCAGAGGTAGCGGTGACCGCTCACACTCCACGTGCACCCACGACAGGCAGGTCGGCCTCTGGTCCTCGTGCTGGATGGCCATCCACGCAGTACCATTTATGGGGCCCTCACTGGGGCTGGTGGGGAGGGGGAGTCACAGACGTGCGAGCTGCCTCTCTGCTGGTCACAGTGGCCAGGCCAAACTGCCTGACGTCCAGCCTTATACCAGCTCCTGGTACCCAATACCAGCTGGGGACCCTTGGGGGTTGGGGAAGTCCTATAAGTTGAACTGTGTCTCCCAAAATGTGTATGTTACAGTTCTAACCCCCAGTGCTTCAGAATGTGACCTTACTTGGAAATGGGGTCGCTGCAGATACAATGAGTTAAAATGAGGTCCCACTGGAGTAGGCTGGGCCCCTAATGCAGTAATGTTGGTGTCCTTATCGAAAGGGGAAATTCAGACAGAGACCCACAGGGAGATGCTCTGTGAAGGTGAAGACTGGTGAGCTGAGCCTATAGCCGAGGACTGCCAGCAACCGCCAGAGGGACCAGCCCAGCCGACATCCTGCTCTGGGACCTCCAGCCTCCAGAATCCTGAGACAATACGGTTCTGTTGTTTAAGCTGCCCAGCCCGTGGTGCTTTGTCACGTACGCCCCAGGAAAGGAATCCAGGGAGCGTGGGACCCATGGGCAGTGTCTGGAAGATCAGGCTGTGTGCAGCCCAGGGCGTCCCTGGGCAAGGCAGGCTGTTGGGACAGCTGGTGAAGGGGAACCTGGGGAGGCAGCATGACCTTGGTGTGGCTTGAAGAGAGAAATGATATAATCCAATTGGGCTTTTTAATTTTTATTTTATTTTTAAATTTTATATAATTTTTTTTGCACTTTGATTATTGTGCTTTGCTTTATTGCACTTTGCATACACTGCAATTTTTTTAACATCTTTATTGGAGTATAATTGCTTTACAATGGTGTGTCAGCTTCTGCTTTATAACAAAGTGAATCAGCTATACATATACATATATCCCCATCTCTTCCCTCTTGCGTCTCCCTTCCTCCCCCCCTCCCTATCCCACCCCTCTAGGTGGTCACAAAGCACCGAGCTGATCTCCCTGTGCTATGCGGCTGCTTCCCACTACCTATCTATTTTACATTTGGTGTGTATATATGTCCATGCCAGTCTCTCACTTTGTCCCAGCTTACCCTTCCCCCTCCCCGTGTCCTCAAGTCCATTCTCTAGTAGGTCTGCGTCTTTATTCCCATCTTGCAATTGGGCTTTTTTAGACTTCCTGGCCTCATCTTGGAGGGTGGGCCTGGCAGTGGATGGGAGGGGACAGAGCAGGCATTGGGCAGGGGACCGGGCGGGTCCACAGTGAGTCTCAGGTTCCACTGAGGTCAAGAGGCCTGTGGCCAGTGGGCACGTGGTCTGGGTGGATGAAAGGGGTGGGGCAGAGAGCAGCCGGAGCAGCTGGAGAAGTGAGGTGACCCCAGGGGTGCCACCTGGGGCCGAGTCTGGGAAGCAAGACCTCGCTGGCTGCTACCAAGGTCAGACAGGCTGCGCAGAGCAGAGCTGAGGGTCAGTGCAGGCAGGAGCTGGAAAGCAAACAAGGGGGATGGGAAGCCTCCAGTACGGGACAAGAGGGACACTAGGCAGCTCCGGGAGGTCGGGGGGTGGAGAGACCGAGGCCAGTGGGAAGCACTATAGGAAATTCTTTCCACAGGCTCCAGGGCCTGCCCGCCTAGCCCCCAGCCTCGGGGGCCCGCTCCAGCCACAGAGCCCCCTGGCTCCCCGAGTATAAGGGGTGGCTCCATCCCCCAGCTGTCCCTGCAGCCTCTAGGACTCATCCTGCATCCTGACCTGTCCCCGAAGTCTGGGCCAGGTGGGTGGGCACATCCCTCTGGGCGTCCCGGTGTGTGTCTACAGATGGCCTTAGGGATCTACTGGGATGAATTTGTCATTTTTTAAAATGAGATAGTGACTCAGGGGAGCAGCCTCTGGACCTGCCTTTAGAAAACAACCAGCCATGGACTTCCCTGGTGGCACAGTGGTTAAGAATCCACCTGCCAATGCAGGGGACACGGGTTCGAGCCCTGGCCCGGGAAGATCCCACATGCCGCAGAGCAACTAAGCCCGTGCGCCACAACTACTGAGCCTGTGCTCTAGAGCCTGCGAGCCACAACTACTGAGCCCACGTGCCACAACTACTGAAGCCCACGTGCCTAGAGCCCATGCTCCACAACAAGAGAAGCTACCACAATGAGAAGCCCCAGCACCACAACAAAGAGTAGCCCCTGCTTTCCGGAACTAGAGAAAGCCCGCGCGCAGCAACGAAGACCCAAAACAGTCAAAAATAAAAATAAATAAATTAATTAAAAAAAAAAAAAAGAAAAACAACCAGCCAAGGCATGAGAAGTGTGTTCCTCTGCTGTGTGGGGATTTCCTGCCAGCCTCTGGGCTTTCCTTTTTCAGGGCGGGGAGAAGTGCACCTCTGCTCCCAGCGCTGGGGGCAGTGAGGCAGCTTCCGGCCATGGGGAGAGGACAATGCCTGGATGTGGTCCCCAGCCTGGCTTCCTGGCCGCCCTCCCGTCTCATCCAGGGGTCCTGCCTGGTGCCCCGAGGCCCCTAAAGATGACAGCGATGCCTCGGAGACCAGGACCAGGTACCCAAGAAAAAAGAACCGCTCTTATCTGGCCACCTCGGGGTTTCCAAGGAGCCACCAGTCTAGAAGCAGAAATGAAAACGCACATCAGTGGCCACAGTGTCAGGGACGCACCACTTAGGGACCTGAGAGGTGACCGCTGACCACAAGGGGAGGACTGGAGGTAAATCACTGCAGTCCCGACCTCGTGATCTGACTCCTGGACAGTCTCACACAGGATTCTATTTACAACCTGAAAAACCCCGCGGACCAACACACTCGGGCCTGGATAGCCAAGAGCCTGCACACGAGCTGCTGGGACATGAGGGTAGGGGCCCCGACCGCCAGACGTGTGTAGACGTGTGACACGTGTGACATCTGTGTCTACACGGTAAAGAAATACTAGGGAAAGACAAAAATAAATCCATTAAAATGGCTGGAGAATATGAGACTTTAAAATTCCTTCAAGTTTGGGAATTCCCTGGCTAGTTAAGACTGCGCTTGCACTGCCAAGGGCCCAGGTTCGATTCCTGGTCAGGGAGCTAAGATCCCGCAAGCCGTGCGGCGGAACCAAAAGAAAAAAAAAATCCTTCAAGGTGGATTCATGGGGGGCCTATAGGGGCCATGGGGGCCCACCTGCACCACCCCTGCCAGCCTCAGGCTCTGGGGCTGTGAACCCTGGCCTCTCGCCGATCACCGATGGTCTCAGGCCTGCTATGTCATCTGCTAATTAACGGGAGCTCATTCACCCCCTGTGCTCAGGGCCTGGCGCTCTCCCCACTCCCCCAGCCTCGCCCGCTGCTCGGCCTTGAGGGGCCCCGCTCCACCTTGAGAGTTCCCCCCTACTTGAGGGGGAAACTTGAGGCACCCGCCCTCCCCCATAACTAAACTCACCCCCCAAGGCCCTGCCCGCAAGAAGGTCCTCTCGCCCTCCTCATGCCTGGCAGGGGCACCAGCCCTGCCCAGTGGCTGCTGGGGATTCAGGGCCCCTCAATGTTCCTTCTGTCCCCCAAGTGCCACTGTGGTGCCTGGTGGGTGCCAGGCCCTCCCTCCTCTGCACTCCCAGCCCCTCGTCTCTCCCACATCCAGCACCCAGACCGCCAATGTGGCCTCGTCAGGCCCCAGGCCCGCTTGGCTCCACTGATCTGCTTTACGGCACCTGCCTCTGAAATATTTTCCCAAAGCAAAACAAAGCAGCCCGCATCGCCCTCTGCACACACCACACCGAGGGACAGGTCACTGGCATTTCCCCCGAGCTCCATGGACGCGGCCCTGGAGTGGGACCGTAGCCTTTACGTTCCTATCTCTGACTGTTATGGGGCCTCGGGTCCCACCAAGCAGGTGCCCCAGGGGTGCGAGAGGGTGGGGCTGACCTGCCACGAAGAAAGAGCACTTGGGGACACGGAACGCCACCGCAGAGGCTGGGGCGTGTCCCAGCACAAGGGGTAACCCAGTGACTAGCACTGGTGGGTGCGGCCCCTGGGGAGGGATGAGGTTCACAGGGGACGAGTGACCCACCAGCCCTCACCCATGAGCCTCCCTTGTGGCTGCCGGTGGTGCACGTCTCCCCCGACACCTGCCAAGCTGGTCGTGTCCCTCTCTGAACCTTGTCTTCACGGCCTGTGAAACAGGGACAGTGCCACCACCTCTCAGGTCTTGGTGGCCAGGGGACTGCCAGGCCTCAGGCCAGTCTCTTAGCCTCTGCCTCCCTGACTGCGAGACAGGATAGAAATGGGACCTACTGCTAGCATCCATCAGGGGTTGAACTGTGTCCCCCGGAAAGGTCCGCTTAAGTCCTAATCCAGTGGCTCAGGACGTGACCTTGTTTGGGATTAGGGTCTTGGCAGGTATAAGATGAGGTCACACAGGAGCAGGGCCCCTAATCCAACAGGACTGGTGTCCTTACAAGAAGACGAGAGACACAGACAGACAAGGAGGACGCCTGGTGACAACAACAGCCAGTCTGGGGTGATGTGTCTACAGGTCAGGGCACATTCAGGACCAGGTGACACCAGAAGCTAAGAGGAAGGCCTGGAGCGGCCCTGACTTCCGGCCCCCAGGACAATGAGACGGGGCACTTCTGTTGCTCTAAGCTGCGTGGTCTGTGGCGCTTGGCGGTGGCAGCCCTGGGAAACCCACGGGGCTGGCAGGGGAGTTCTGCGCAGAATGTAGTCAGCAGGAGCGGAAGGCAGGGGGTGAAGGTAGCCAGGGTGAGGGTCGTGCCCTGTGCTCCCTTCCCCCTTCCATCCTGGGCCACTGTCCCAGCACCCACACCTCTCACCTGCTGCTCAGGAAGCCCATGGCCAGCTCAGCCAGCTCGCCTTCCACCTCCTCCTGGCTCAGCATCGTCCCTGGGACCTTCCATGGCAAAGGGCTCTCTGGGCCCAGCGGGGCTGGGAAGTCGCGGAGGAGCTCGTCCAGGAAGCTGGGGGTCTCCTCTGCCTTCTGGCTGTTCTGCTGTGGGGTTCCCGAGGCCATGCCCAGAGCATCCTGGGGGGCTGCTGCTGGGTCACTGGTCTTCATTCTGGGGAGAGACGTGAGGGTTGGCAAGAATACAGTCGACTGGCGCCCTACAGTGCTGAGCGCCTCACTTTCTTTGCTTCCCCTTGAAGCATTGAGGGGCAGGCGCCGCACCAAGTTCGGGGCTCCAGGCAGAAAGGCGGGGCCCCCGGGCCTCACACACAGTTCCGGGGCCCACGTGGGAGGGACAACCCTGAGAGGGGACCTGGGGGAGCCCAGAGAAGTGGCTTCAGGAGACAGAGCCCGGAGCAGAGGGATGTCCTGAAGGAGGAGGAAGGCATGTTCCTGGCAGAGGACGGCTGGTGTGGCCAGAGGCAGGCAGGAGAGGGACCCAGGGCCAGGCCATGGAGGCAGGTGGACACGGCCAGAGCAGGGGTTCCACCTGACGCCGGACCTGGGCAGCAGGAAGGTGAGGAGGTGATGCCACTGGGCCTGGGAGCCTGGAAGTCATGCCCAGAGCGGGGCAGGGCTACCTGATGGCACGGTGGCAGGGCCATCGTACAGAGGGCGTGTGGGCAGGAGGGAAGCAGAGGGTTAACCCAGGAGAGTCAGGGCCTTTGGGACATGGTCAAGCCTTATAAGTCCTCTCAGGAGGAGTCCCAGGCCTCCTGAGGCTTAAAAGGTTTGTCCATGTCCACAAACACCCCGACCGTCCTGGGCTTCAAATGGGCTGGAGGATGGGGGATACAGGGGGCTCACTGCCCACTGAGGATCAGAGCTCCTAACTCAGCACAAGTCTCCTGGAAGAACAGAGACAGGACACAGCAGACAAGCAGGCATGGGGGTGAGGGGGAAGGGGAAGTAAGATGTGTCATCAGTGGAGGGTCTGGAGGGCAAAGGGTGAAGAATTAAGAAACAGGGAATTCCCTGGAGGTCCAGTGGTTAGGAGTCGGCGCTTTCACTGCTGGGGCCTGGGTTCGACCCCTGGTCGGGGAACTAAGATCCCACAAGCCACGTGGCACGGCCAAAGAAAGAAAGAAACAAACACAAAACCTCTCTCATCTGTCAGCGAGGAGAATTGGAAGTTAATTTCTTGAAGTAGACACACATGAATAACACAGGAACTGGGGCGCTTGTGATGGAAGGTTCTGGGGACAGGCTCCCAGTCATGGCCATCCCTCCTGTCTGCTCACAAGTGAGTGACACAACACAGCTCCAGGCCGCAAAAAGCAAACAGGGAAACAAATGAAGGACGTAAGATAAAGAACAATCAGGTGAGAGCAAGCTAGACACTGCGTTATAAACACAAGGGTCCGAGACTGTGAGATGGGGGGCCGGGCCGGGCGCCGTGGGGGTGGTAAGGGCAGGGAGGAGGCAGCCAGGCGGGCCTGAGCCAACGATAAACAACAGGAAGGTGGCGTGAACTTCCCAGGAAGCTCAGACACCCTTGGGCAGGGAAAGAGGCCAAGCTGCCTCTTCTGCCTGTGAAATGCTCTGGCCTGTTGCATAGAGGAGAGAAATGTGAGTGACGCAAAGCTGCCCCAGGCAACACTGGCCCCAGCTCCCCTGCAATTCTGAGTCCAAACAAATACGAGGCCCTGAAATTGCTGGTGGCCCAAAGCACGCTCATTAGATACGTGACTAGGGTCAAATGGTGCTCACTGACCTCCCAGGGCGCATGGGAGGGCCCACAGCCGAAAGCAAAGCACCGAATTCAGGCCCTTCACCTTCAACCTCGCTGATGGTGGTGGGTTTTTTTGGGGATGCAGGGGCCTCCTTCTTGCCTCCCAGCCTTGGGATGCTGTTCCTTGGGCCTGGACCCCAGTCCCCCGAGTCTGTTTCTCGGTGGGTTGGGAGCCCCTCCCCTCTGCAGCACCAAGGCCTGGTCTCCGCTGTGCCCCTGTGCCCACCGCTCCATGCCCAGGCATGACTGTGTACCTGAGGGGTGAGGGCTGCTACTCTCATGGCCTGGCCCAGCCCCGCCTTTGCTAGACAGGTGGGCATCACCAGGACCTACCAGGCTTGTTTTCGCATAGCCTGGCAGAACAAAGGGCCAGGAAATGAGCCGGGACAGTGGGGTAAGGGACAAGAGTAACTTCCTTCCTTGCCATCTTCTTCTCAACCAGCTCCTGGATCTGTGACCTACCCCAGCTGATATGAGCCCGGGGCCGAGATGACAGCGCGAGGGAGAAATTCCTGCCCAAAGGGGCCCAGAGGCAGCTCTGGGAGGGTCAGGAGGGGCAAGGGCAGGACCATAGCCCTGAGCTCTCCCAGGACCAACTGAGGAGCCAGTCAAGAAGGATGGAGGCCAGCAGGCAGGCAGTGAGATGGGGGGATGCGGCGGGGCTGGGCCTGGTGTGGGGGTCCTGACCTGGGAGCTGGTGAGAAGCTGGGGCGGGGGTGGGGGGGAGACTCCTGAATGAGGACCTGGAGGGGGGGCGTGGGAGGGACACTGGGCCGCCAGCCCCCACTGCCACCTGCTCCACCGGTCTGGCCAAATGTGGCCTGAGGCCAGGTCCTCCAGCTCCTGGAACGAAGCCCCTCTGCACTGCTCATCAGCAGGAATAACAGTGCTGCAGCTAATACCCGCCAGGGGACTGCAGGGCCGCCACCCTCTGAGCGCACTTCCGCTGCCACCTCTTCTTGCACCCCCCCCCCCCAATACCCCGTGTTATTACCCTCACCTTTCAGGCGAGGCATCAGCGAAAGGGCCAAGTTACCCAGCCAGGGTCCCAGTCAGGCCAAGGTGGGACTGCGGAGCCCGGCTGCTAACTGGACAGAACCCCGCCCACCCCTCATGGGCCGCCGACCCTGGGGCTGGCCGCTCCCAGGCCCCTCTTTCATTTCTGCGCCCATCGCCCAGGTGCAGCCCTGAGAGCTCCGGCCCTGCCTCTGCTGAAATCCCCATGGCTGGGGCACAGCCGTCTTCACGGCTCTATAGCACTTCTGCTCGCATCTGACTTGTAAAAGCCCATTTTTCTTTTTTTTCCGTTTAAAATATTTATTATCCTCCAGGTTAACCGTTTTGACTTCGAAGCTCAACCAATGTGTGTTTGTACAACTGTGTTTTTCTCGGCAGTATGGACAAGATACTTGTCAAGTCCTGTTTGATTTCAGAACAGGAGTGAAGAGAGAAACAGCAATCTTTAGGAAGGGAAATTGCATCACTGTTACAAAAGTATTCACAGTTAAACATTTTTCTGCAAACATTTTTCAGCAAACATTTTTCTGCAAGTAGAGAGCCTTATTCCTTCGTTCATAAACAAACACTGGGAAGAGTATGGCAGAAACCCTTCCAGATATTTTCCCACATATGTATTTTTTTCTTTTTAAAACACTTATGGTAAACTATACATAACATACAATTTATCATTCTACCCTTTTAAGTGTACAGTTTTGCTGCATTAAGCACGTTCACATTGTTGTGCAAATGTCACTTTTTACAGGCTTGACTTCTCACAAGATTATAAACTGTACTCCCACACCCGGTCTCTCGGCTGTACCACAGCCCTCCGTGCAAGGCCCCTTTGTGCATGGCTGCTGGCACATGTGGGCAGAGGGAAGGTGTCGGCCTCCTCCCAACACCCTGCAGCAGATGGTGTGGGTTGGGAGGTGCAGCCTGAGGCCTGGCCCCTTGAAAGAGGAAGTTAAGACACTCTACTAAAGGTGGTGGGCAGCGAACAGGTCCTAAGGACAGGGCTGGCTTCAGGCCATATCACAAAGGAATTCTAGGAATGAACGTGTGGAGGTTTGCAGAGTGGCCTGCATCCTGTTTACCTCTCACAACTATGCTGAGTACACGCTGTTGGACTCAGCCAGGTTGCAGTGAAGAAACAGACTCAGGGAAGGTCAGCAACCTGAGGCCACACAGGCAGGAAATGGCAAAGCCGGAATCAGGTGGGGTCTTCCCACGCCTTTGTCATTTCCAGCTCAGTTGCAGGAGGAAGAGTGAACTGTGACAATAGGCCGGATATGGCACAAAAGCCAGCAGTGAGCTTCATGTTCTATCTCCCATGGTGGGAGCACAGCTCACCCACAGAACTCGTGCCAGGGAATGTCATTAGGATGTGTCACTCAGGACGTGTCACTCAAGACATGTGTCCAGCTGAGTGGAAGGCTGCGGGGAGGCGTCCATCACCATTGACTAGGCCCCACTATGTTAAGCCCTGCACTAAAATCCCTACAATCAGCTGCCATATCTCCCTGTTGCACAGAGAGGCTAAGGGGCTTGCCTGAAGTCACACAGCTGCACTGCTGGAGCCATGGCCTCCCTACCGGAGGTTCAATCTCATAGGCGTCTCGCTAAAGCTGCTGTAGCCCAAGCACTGGCTTTAACTAAAACACCTTAAATACGCTTGGGGGAGGGCCGGGTGGGGGCAGGCCAGGGGTGGAGGCGCTGGGGCAGAGCTGCAGTCCGGCAAAGGTGCGGGGGCTTCTGGGGTAGGGGTTTGGGCAGGGGCCCGGCCAGATGCTCCCATGCGGGCGGAGGGGAAGGAGGAAGCCCAAGCATTGGGGGCACGTCAACCCTCAGCACCCCATCCTGCTTCACGGCCCTCGGCCCCCCGGCTCGGCCACACCCCCGCGGGCCCAACCCCCACCGCTGCACCCTGGGCGCGCAGCCCCCAAGCCCGCCCCGGGCTCCCCGGGTCCCGGCTGCCGCCCCCGCTTTCAGCCCCCACTCGGCTCCCAGCCCCTCGCGGCTCCCCATATCGGCCTCCTCATCTCCCCAACCCGCCCCTGCACCCCTGGCGCCGCCGCCGGAGCCTCCCTGGGCGCGTCAGCACCCCGCCCGCGCCCCGCTGCACCCCGGGTCCCCACGGTCCTCACCTGCCACTCGGCCGCCCGGCGCCCTCTAGCCGCTCCCAGCCGACCCCGCCCACTTCCCGTCCGGCCACCGCGGACGCCGCGCAGGCGCAGTCGGGCCCAGGCGGGAGGGGCCGGCCTCTGCTGTCTCCTGGCGGCCCGCTGCGCGCGCCGGCAGCCCCACCCGGAGGACGAGCGCACCTGCGGCCTGCATCCCGGCCATTGCATCAGGTCTCCACCTGTGGTGGCTGTGTAGATGGGGCGGTGCCCAGAAATTAGGCAACTTGCGCAGTCAACAGACGGTTAGCAGCAGAACAGGGATGCGAGCCCACACTGCCCAGGGCCCACGACACTTTTAGGGACGGTTAGCTTCCAATGGCCACAAACACACACATTTAATATCTACAGGTCTGAAGATCAGAAGCCAGTAAGGTCTCAATGGGCTAGTTCAAGGGTCATCAGGGTGCCTTCCTTTCTGGGAGCTCTAGGGGAGAAGGTTCTCCCTCCTTTTTCAGCTTCTAACTGCCCCGCCCCTTGGCTCATGGCCCCTCCCACCTTCAAAGCCAGGACCGAAAAGACCCTTGTGATGACCTTGGGCCACCCAGATGACCCAGGATAATCTGTTTTAAAATCAGATGAGCAACCTTAATCCCACCTGCAGCCCTGACTCCCCTCCACCACGTCATCTAACAGCACCGTTCCAGGGACAAGGACCTGGACATCTTTGGGGGTCATTTTTCTGCCACCTTAGAAGCCCAGGGGAAAAAAAAATATTTTTTGGCTGCACCACGCGGCTTGTGAGATCTTAGTTCCCCAATCAGGGATCAAACCCATGCCCCCTGCAGTGGAGGCACAGAGTCCTAACCACTGGACCGCTAGGGAATTCCCAGAAAATGTTTTAACGCCAGAAAAGATAAATGAACTTTTAGGTCAAAGAAAATGTCTTAGTATAGAATATTAATATATTCATCTTTATATCAATGCAATTGTAAAGCATAATTTAAACTTTTTATGGAGGAAGAGCTCTCAGAAGCCCCACTGGGGCCCTGCCCACCTGATCTCCAGGCCCACACATGGCTTTTGTCCATCCCAGGAACTAAGGTTCACTAACAGGAGGGTCTGGAGAACAAGCAGCTGGCAGATATGAAAGGACACCATCTGGGGAGGGGGTGGGTGTGGAAGGTAGGGGGTGCCTGGGCAGAGGAAGCAGGGTGGAGCGGGTGCTGCTCATCCCATTCTCCTCCTCACACCTTCCTAGACCCTATAACCTGTCCATCACCATGGTGACCCCAGCAAGGCCCGCGGCTACTTCTTAGGACCTGTGACCTTGAACATGTTCCTTAGATGCCCTGTGCCGTTTCTTTACCAGAAAGACAGGGACAATAGCAACCAACCTATCTCCTAGTGCTGTTGTGCGACCCCGCCTCAGTGTTTCTCAGTGTGCCCAGGACCACTTGCATCAGAATGAGTAAAGGGTGAAGTCTGAGAACCACAGTGTGCGTGAGGCAGTCCTGGGACAGGACTCCACATTGCAAAGCCCATGAATGCTGACATACCCATGGGCTTCCTCAGCAGGGCCCACACTAGACTCCTCCGAGCACTGATTCCATTCAAGGCTGGTGCTGGGAGACACTGCCGCTTGGCCAGGAGCTTGCCTCCTATTGGCGGGTGCTGGGCCAAGGACATGCCGGTGAGCCGGTGAGCCGACTCGTGCCCTGTGGCTTCCGTCAATCCCTCCCCGCTACATTCCATTCCCCCTCAGCTCCCAGCTCCGCTCCTGCCCTTGGGAAAGGAGCCTCCCCACAACACCCAGCCCACCCGGCCCCTGAGTTCCAGCCTCTAGGGTGAATCTACAACTGAGGTAGTGGTCCGTGTGTGGGCAGCATGGTTCTGACTGCCCCTTGCACAGGCTCCGAGAGGTGTTTCATGGAGCCTCTTCTTGCGGTGGAGCCTGGGCAGAGGGTGAAATCCCAAAGTGTGGAGGCCTGACGTAAGTGCCCCTCGGGTAGAGCAGGCTTGGGAAGGGGGCAGGTGGCAGGCGGCCCGCAGGGCGGTGTGGCTTGTGGGGTACTTTCTCCACCTGGCACGTGGGCGATTCCCTCATGTAAACTGCTGCCTGCCTCTGTCTGAAAGGACGGGTGTTTGAGAACTGAAATGGGAATGGGCCCTAAGGGTGCAGGCCCCACGCTCAGACCCGCTCCCAGACGCCAAGTGGGGAGCAGGGGTCTGGCCCGGGGCAGTGGGTGGGAGTGAGGGCCAACATCCAGGGAGGCTTCTCCCAGCCGCCTCCTCCCACCTAGGACAGCTGGTGGCAGGCAGCTGGTGGCTTCCTGCCTTCCAGGCGCCTGGGCTACCCCCAAGGCATGCACACAGTTACTGTGCCGTGTCTCACATGCACTAGAACGTGACAGGAGCCTCGGACTGGGTCTGCTCCCCGTTCCGTGTGTGGTGGCCTCCCTGCAGGACGCGGGCAGAGCGGACACTAAGGGGGCGTGTGCAGGACGAGGGAGAGGCGAGCGGACGGGGCCGGAGGGCCAATGGGGGACGGGCACAACCCTCTGACAGCAGGCAAGGTCCCGCGAGCTGCTCGTTCTGGAGAAGACAATGTGTTTAATGATTTCTGTAACCCAGAGGACGCCATGCAGAGCCTGGGCAGGGCCGTCACACGAAGTAGGCGGCCAGGGCCGACATCTTGTCCTTGGGTCTCCTGGTGCCTGGCTTCCCCGCTGGCCTCCGGCCCCGGCCCCGGCCCCGGCCCTGCCTCCTCCCAGGCCCGCGGTGCATGGGGTGGCAGGAGGCTGCGTGCTTCAGCTCCACCAGCTCCTGGAAGACAGGGTCGCAGAAGACGCAGCCCGTGTGCTGCGTGCCGTCACCCGGCAGTGGGGACCTGGCCTTGTTGAAGTCGACGTCCAGCAGTGCAGCCTCGCAGGTGCCGCAGGTGTCGGCAGACACACGCACGCGGTGGGCATTCTCGAAGCAGTGCGCCACCACATTGCACCTGTTGCAGGCCACCCGCCACTTGGGGCCTGAGGTGGGGTCGAGCACCAGCACACCGCTCTCGCACTCCACGCACTGGCCAATGCCCAGCATGCTCAGCGAGTGCTGGCAGGTGGGGTGTGTGCACTCGTTGCAGCCTGTGCCTGGGGGGGGGAGTGCGGGGGGGTACCATTATGCACACCCACCTGCCCGCCCACCCACCCTCGGGACCTCCACCCCAACCCTCATCCCAACAGATTGCGCTCCTCTCGCCCTGTGCATGCTGGTCCTGGGCTCTACTTCTCTGAGACCTCCTTGACCTCTGACGTCCCCCTACTCTGAGGTTTCCAGACAGCTTCCGGACGGCCTCCAGCCAAGTCCACCCCCGCTTTACTTTGCTCCCCGTGGCCCAGGTGGGGCCATCTGCTGCCCTGTAAGCTGCTGGAGGGCAGGGATGGGTCTCCCTGAGAAAGGTGGTGACTGAGGGCTTACCCCTTGCTGGGGGCAGCCTCCTCCCACTGCATCCTCTCACTCCCCCCAGCCCAGGAGCACGCCCACTGCCCAGATCACAAGTGATCTGACTACGGTCAACCATCCAATCGCGACTAGGCAGAGAGCGGCAGACTGGCCGGCTGGGCCCTGAGCAGTGCCCGAGCACACCTGGGTCCTTGGGGCCCTGTGCAGGGAGCTCAGGAATGGTAGGCGCGGGGTCCCCTCAGAGTCCAGCATGGCATGAGCAGGGCTGGTGCTAAGGAGGGACCACAGGTGCCCGGGGGACAGGCGAGCTGTCTAGGGAGGGAACAGCTCACCTTTCTTCATGTCTCGGAAGGGTGGGTGGTTGGAGCAATATGGGCACAGCGGGTAGCTCTTGCCCCGCGAGCCTGATGACCACAGAACCAGCTCGAAGTCGTCCAGCGGGCACCGGAGCTCCTTGTAGAGCTTGATGGTGCCATTCTGGGGGAGGGTGTAGGTCTCATCGCAGTGGGAGCAGTGCAGGCGGCTTGGCTTGGCCTGTGGCAAAGTCAGGGGGGGTGGTCACAGGTTTGCTGGGGCTGCTGACCCTCCTGCCCACCCTCATTCTCCCTGAGACATAGGATACGGAACATGTAAAACATAACGTGTAACACCTATAACGTAACACAGTGCGTGATGCTAACGCATAACGTGTAGGTAGCACATAGCATGGAGGATCACCAGGACCTCTCAGGCGAGGATCCCTGGTCACTGACTCTCAGAACACTTGCTCCACACGTACACAAAGGTGCTAAAATCCCTGCACAGCAAGTATCCGTGACAGCAAGGAACATGTTGTCAAGAGAACATGGACAGTGCGTGTTTCAGTGGCCTAATGGCTTACGTGCTGCTGGGGGCAGCGGTGGGGGTTTGTTGGCAAAGCTGCCCAGGCCCCCCACGTCACTCCGTGTGAAAGCAGCTGGAGCAAGGCCCGCGGGGTGGCAAGACCGCCCATCTGTGCACACCTGCCCCGTGTGTCCCGGCCCCTCCCCCCCTACCTGGATGTACTTCATGAACCGGTGGCACTTCCCACAGCGGGAAAGGGGCTTGCCGGTGGCCGCCAGGGGCGAGAAGGACACCTCCATCAGCTCATCCATGCCTGAAAGTGAGCAGGGCGGGACTCACACCCCGACCCCGGGGTGCCCACCTCCACGACAGCCGGTATACCGGGCAGGCTTGAGGGAGCTACCGCACGGGGCCAAGAGTCTGAGGGTAAATACGGCCACCCCTGAGGGTGGGGGTCTTTGCGTCAGTAACTGAGCGGCAAGCGGCAGCCCTGTTTGTCACACGAGCCGAGTGTGCTGCATGTGCTGTCACTGCACTCGCTCTGTAATCCCGACAATGGCCTGGAGCCCAGAGCCTGGATCTGGGAGCTGGTATCGCTGCTGGAGGCGGCAGCCCTGACCAGGGTCCTCTGGCCGGCGAGCAGGGGAGAGGCGGGCCTCACCCGCAATGGAGTCCACGAAGTAGTGGAACTTCCTCTTGAAGACGTCCAGGGTGTGGCCCAGGACCTGGCGGTAGTCGGCTTTACCCTGGGCGATCAGGTTCAGCTGCTTCTCTACTGCACTGCGAATGGTGGGGAGCACTAGCTCCGCATCTGCGGAGTAGGGGACGCACTGTGAGCCCTCATGCCACGGGGCCAGGG